CTCTCCATCTCTCCTCTCCAGCTGCCCCTGCCCTCATCAGCAAGCCCACGTCTGCTAGACTTACTGAACGCAGACCAGCGCAGCTGCTACACCCTCAACACACAGAGGATAACGAGTCAAAGAGAGAAACAGCATAAAGAGAGAAATAACATGAAAATAATGAGATAAGAAAACACAGACCTAGTAAGAAATAGGAACATTTACCAAAAAAAGTGGGAATAATACCAGAGCAGATTTTTTTACCAGAGCCTTTAAAAACTGTCTCCTTCAAGGCTGGCCCTTGTGGCCAAGAAGGCCAATGGTATCCTGGGCTGCATTAGGAAGAGTATTGCCAGCAGGTCGAGTGAGGTGATCCTTCCTCTCTACTCAGCCCTGGTGAGGTCGCACCTGGAGTACTGTGTCCAGTTCTGGCCTCCCCCAGACATGGAGAGACAAGAGAGATATGGAGCTCCTGCAGCAAGCCCAGTGAAGGGCTGCTAAAATGATGAGGGGACTGGAGCATCTCCGCTATGAGGAAAGGCTGAGGGAGCTGGGCCTGTTTAGCCTGGAGAAGAGAAGACTGAGGGGAGATCTTATAAATGTGTATAAGTATCCAAAGGGAGGGTGTCAAGAGGATGGGGTCAGACTCTTCTCAGCGGTGCCCAGCAGTAGGACGAGAGGCAAAGGGCACAAACTGAAACACAGGCAGTTCTGTCTGAATATGAGGAAAAACTGCTTTCCTGTGAGGGTGACTGACACTGGAACAGGTTGCTCAGAGAGGATATGGAGTCTCCTTCCTTGGACATATTCAAAAGCTGTCTGGACACAATCTTGGGTAATGTTCTCTAGGTGATCCTGCTTGAGCACAGGGGTTGGACTAGATGATCTCCAGAGGTCCCTTCCAACCTCAACCACTCTGTGAGTCTGTGGTGTTGCTTGTACATGTTACTTGTATACCCATAAACTTCAGGCCTCTTTAGCAGATACAAAAGCAGGGGTTCCCTTCTGCTCCATTAGCGCAGAGCATATTTTCCACTCCTCAATTTCTGACTCATAATAGCCACAGTAATAACAATAATAGCGTTACTGTGAAAGCAGAAGGAATTCCTCCTTTCATCACTTGTCCACAGCACCACAGAATTACTCAGACTACCACCACTGGACTTCCTTTGAGCAGAGGTCGAAGAGGGAAGGCTTGTAAGTTTCACCTTTGTTGCAAAACTTTGAGGTACCTCCACCTTTCTCGCTTAAAGCTCCAAACTGATTTTATAGACAACACTTGAAAACTAATGGGAAGGACCTTTGTGATCCCATGTGGTTCCACAGAAGAACAGTGGGCAGCTGAAGTACCGGATTATTTGTGACATGGTGAAGTACTGTGGCACGCTGTCTCCCACTATATTTATTGTGACTTGCTTTTCCCTCAGCTCTGCTTTCAGTTTCCCAGAGAGTACAGACAGTATGTGAGAGCTCAAGTGGGAGGAAAGACAGCTGAGGTCCAGCTGGTGGAAGTTACATGCAGAGTTGTGTGAGTCTGAAACTGTACGCGCCACACTGTGGGAAGCAAAAAAGGTACCTTCCCCTTCCACCCTTCCACCTGCAAAGTCCTCATCACTGCCAAGATAAGTCCTGCTTCTCTCTGCTCTGAAAACATTTCTTACCATGGAAGAAACTTTCAGGAACTAAAACTGTGAGCCTCCCTTGAAGGCAGAGCAGTTTAGAGATGGACACAGAGGAAGTACCAATGGAGCAGCTCTTCTGCATGTGATTTGGTCAGAACTGCTCTGCAGAGGGTCTCAAGGAGTTGCAGCTTTCCAGGAGCACAGCAAGCTCAGTCCTTTGGAATGCATCAAATCTAATCTAAGCTCCTTTCTTCTCTTGCATAAGACTTTTCAAAAACAATGACAAATTATTAATTCACAATCAGGTTACTGAACCACGCAGAAGAATCGGGTGTGCCAAATTCCTTTTATGCCTTCTGTGTAAGGGCATGCTCTTCAGCCATCAGCAATAGGGGAGATGGTCTGAATTTCACCGCAGTCATAATACAGCCTATATCCATCTATGTAGCAAATATCTCAAGGTGAACGCAGCCACTGAAGTTTTGCACACCGCTCAAGCTGGATGCCTTTTTCTATGAGATGTGTGTGTGTTCCAAGACAGGTGGGGACATATCTGAAAAGCTGTTCAGAGTTTCAATAATTAAGCAGGAGAATCTTTTATGGAATCATGAAGTGGCATACCTTGACAGTCAACAATTTTCTTTCGTGTTTAATATTAAACTGGTGAAAAATTTGACAGTCCACAGCACTGCAATAATTTAATGCACTCTCAAAGGACTATGTATTTCAATGTCTGTTAAACCGTCTGTTATGAAGGCTCTTATACCAAACAGACAAGCAATGCCTTTGGGTAGCTACAGCAAACACACCTAACTGAAATCCCAGAACGTACCACAGCCATGGCCATCGGATGGCACTACAGCCATCACAATAACTCCTACCCTTTGAACCATGCTGACCCAAGGTGCTGTCTTTTGCTTGGTGTGCTCCAAATGCCATGAGGAATTAAGAGATCTATCCTGTGCGACTGAAGTGTGCTTTGGGGAGTTTCATGCACTAATCTCAGGCCACAGAAGTTCACTGAGAGTTGTTCAAACGGAACGCAGACATTGTTTTTTCAAGCTTTTTGGTTTCAACAGCCAATCCTTAAAGTACTCCAGGTCTTGAAGGTAAAGTACACTTTCAAGATCCTGAATACATCTTCCTAGGTTCATTCGGCCTCCTGTAGGGAAAATTGCTGAGCTCCATCTCTGATGTCACTCGCACAGGAGCTTGCAGAAGATGATGAATGAGATACAGCTAGTATAAAACCTAAAAGGTGATGATGTACACAAAGAATCTTGACATACTCCATCTCTTAAGGACTGATCTGGATGCTGAATGACACATACATCTCTGGCTGAGCACTTCCTCGATCAGAATAATGATATTGTAGCAATTTATGACATTTATTTGCTTAAATAGGCCTTTCTACCACATAGTATCACGGAAAAACAGATCAACAATTGCAGCTGCTGCTTTTTGGCAGCATCTTCATACAGAGGTGGTCAATACAGAATCGGAACACAGTAGCTGCAACAGAATGGAAACTCTTCTTCCTCTCTGAGAAAACTTGCTCCAAGACTAGCTTGACTTGCACTAAAGACACTACTCTAAACAATTTGCAACAATTTCTCAGAAAGGATACTGGCTGCTCAATTTGGTTACTTTCTTCCCAGACTAAGACTGACTATAGGTTTTCCAGCTTTGCACTCCAAAAGCTAGTATATTCGTTAAAAAGTCCACTAAGCGGAATCTTTCTTTGCCTTTAGGATTCTTAAGGATTTCTTAAGGAAAAAAAAAACAAAACAGAAACATACACAACATTCCCCCCCCCCCCCAGCCACTACAGACTCAAATGAATCAATCAGCCTTTTGGAGTTTAATGCCACTAAGTCCTTTGTTCCTTGCACTAACCAGACTGCTTTAAATATAAACTCTGCTTCAGTGGGATTCATTTTACAAATATCTTTGGCTTTCTGACATTGCATCATGTTTGTATTTACTGACATTGGCTTGCAGATCTCATTTTACCATGTTTAATACGTGATGGAGCTTCCAAACTGTGCACTGTGACTCTGTCAAGGGTTGCTACAGATGCTGCCAGGACATTACCTGTGGGGACTGGCAGTGCCTCCCACGGAAGTGGCAAGTTAGTGCACGTGGAGAAGCAAATGTTATGACCATTCTGAAAAAACAACACTATCATCTGATGTCCAAACCTCTTCCCTTGATTTCTTCTTCTCCCTAACCATAACCTAAAAGTGAGAAATCTGGACTGCAGGGATGCACAGGCCCAGGTCAGACTGTTTTCATAGCACACCGAAAGGGCTGCTCTTGATGATTAATTATCTTTTACTGGTGATGACCACATTTAAAGTGTCTACTCTAATTCTTTTAGATCTGCCTTTGATAACAGTGACCACTTTGTGTTGTTGACACAGCTGTGGTTCCTGGCAGGGACAGATGGAGTTGCTTGAGTTGGTCAGATCCACAGTAGGCTTTCAAAGAGCTCTAGAAAAATGAGTGCCGTAGTTTTAAGCCCATGTAAGTTTTCTGATTCAAAAAGCCCTCTGAATCTAACAGATCTCCCTCAGGCCAGCCAAAGGTTTACCATACACGAATGACTAAAAGCTGAGGATAAGACTACACAGATCAACATACTTTTAACAGAGTCATTTTCTTGGGTTGAAAGGGAATGTATACTCGTTTCCATGGCAACAGAGGAAAAAATAAACCAAATTCTTTCCTTCTCCGCTGCAAACCTTTGGATTGACAGGTCTTTAAAAGACACTCAATGTTCATTCTAAAGATGGAAAAGACCAAATACACTTGCTGTACACTTGTTAGATGCATTTGTTGGCTCAGCTTGAAAACATTTCACAGTTCACACAGTATTTGGCAAGAGCCGTTTCAGCTTTCTTTCCCAGAGACAGATTTTATAGCAATTAGAAGACATAAATAAAATGCATACATCATTTTCTCTCTGGGAGAGAGAGACACATCACACCCTTATACGCAGGTACAGATACAGCTGTTGATAATACCCACACAGAAAATTGCAAAGATTCTTGATAAATGTAACTTGCTATGCACCTTTCATCATGTCACCTGCACTTTGCCTGTTAATCCATCTCTGCTGGATTATTGCTAGCATTCCAAACCTCTGCGCAGTTGTGAACAGCTGCTTCTATTGTGGGTTTTTTTTTCCCCCTCTTAAGCTATTTGGCAAAAAATATTTATTTTCTTTTCCCTGAAATTGGCATTTTTACCCTTAAAGTAAACGCTATTTCAATTCATTGAGTTCAGTGTGTTCCTATCCCAAAGGAAGTAGCATGTGGACATGAGGTCCTGTATGTACAATATCAGTGTTCAAAACACGCAATTTCCACCCAAAGACAGAGATTCTTGACCTCTCTGTTAGGAAAGGTGCACCAAGCCAATCCATCCAATCATTGGACTGGATTAAAAATACAATACGTTATTTCATTTTGAGGGTTATTTTCTTTATCCTCTGCAGTCGTTTGGGGTCATTTGCAAGTTTTTCTCCACAACAACAAGGGCCAGAGAAATTACATCTTTTGTTACAAGAAAAGATACACTAAGACTCTCCTGAAATTGCGTGATGCTAGGATCAAGGTCTTCTCAGAAACATCAAATATTAAAAGCCTTGTGGAGAGCTGGCGGGTCTATACTGAATATTTGATTCTGAGCCCTGTGGCCCCACAGACCCCGGATCTTTAAAACATGGCAATTTTTTTCACAGAAGAAAGCTGTGTATGTTATATTTAGAGATTTCTAGAAACCGTGATTCAACAGCTCTCTCCAATTCCATTTTACAGGCCTGGGCAGCTGGATTCATTCCTAACGTCCCTGGATTTCTTTGACAGAAGATACGGGGTTGGGGGGGAGGCCAAACCCACAGCAGTGCTTTGAATTGGAGATACTCTTTAACACATGGCACGCTCAGAACACATTGTGGTGCGCTGTCATAACTGTCATAAGAAGATTTGATGGTGAAAGATCTGCCAAATAAAGCTTCATTCTAAACTGATGGCCAAAAAAAAAAAAAAGCAAGACACACACCTTACAATCTATTCTTTGCATCCTGCCTCATTTCGAGAATATAAAGACGTCTGTGTCCTTAACGGATTTTCCAAGGAGGATTTTAAATCTCCCCTACTGGGGATAAGAACCCTCAACCCTCTGAAACAAAGCTTGTTATCATAAATTATCGCACAAATCATATACACTATGCAGAAATACAGCATTTGGATGAATTGTCTCCGTTTCAATGCAAGTCTGAATGCTCTGCATCTCACGTGTGCCTCAAGCATCCAGAATACTAAGTGTCTACACATACAACGTATTAGTGATTGTAATGAAGCACATCTTCCCCTCCCTTACCAAAGGTGGCTGCCAAGAACTGTAAGGAGCTTGTGCTGCTTGGATGCTACAGCTTCCCTCCCTCTAGCCTTCCTACTCCTATGATGAGATTGTCTGAGCAGTGCCCTCAGAGCACTGGATCCCTGCAGGATGAATTTTTCCCTTAACCCCCCTGTAGAAGGGGCCTCTCCATTTTTTTGCCCCAGCCCCAGAGATGCAGCCTGCTGGCTGGAAGTTGTGAAAACAGACAGCTTGGGGGCATTGTACGCTCCTGAAACCTGAGCAGCTCCTAAGTGTCATTACTCATCCAAGCAGCTTTTCCTTCCCCAGGCTTGGCGTACTCTCCCTCCCTGAATCCGCAAGTGCTTCAAGGGCTGGAGAGCTGCCAGCCACCAGCTGCACAAGATCTTAAAGAAACCTGGGCCCATTTTCATAACTCAGGAGAGAGAGAGAGAGAAAGGGGCGGGGGGAATTGAGCAAATTGAAAAAGTCAAGGGGAGGTCCTCTGCCTCATTCCTCCTCACTTCACCCTTTCCCTTCACCCTTCCACATGAAAAAAGTCTTTAGGAACTAATATTAAAATACAAGCAAGAAAATCTAGGAAACTAATCTTGTGACATCAGGGGACAACCCAGAAGGGACAGTGTCCTCTGCCTGAGGCCTGCTCCCTGAAAATTTAGCACAGCTCAGTGGGGAACGCTGTCTCACCATGGAGCAAGAGGAGGAGGGGTTTTGCTTCCCACAGCGGCTCTGCTCTGAAATGATTTGGAGGAAAGGGAACTTGGTTCTCCTCGGGGATGAGAAAAAGCTCACATTTCGCAAGCTGCAAAGCAGAACTATGGCACATGGCTTCCAGAGTTCCCCACTCCTGGGAATTACAGCCCTACTCACATCAGGTAAGAAGCTGGAAAGAAGCTGAGGAGAAAAAGAACATGGCAGAGGGACCAGCCACTGCAGCCTCCCTCCTTGCCAGCGTTTGGTTTAGGGAAACGCAAGAGGGTACCTGAGCTTGTCAGCAATAAAGATCACCCTCCTTTCCAGAAGCAGGGAAGCGAAGACTCTGCTCAGGTGCCGCACGCTGAGGGACGTGAACAGGGACTCAAAATCAACGTGCTCAAGCCTGGAGTCGAGAGGCCGCCGCAGCTCGATTACCTGTTGGAGAAAAAAAGGCCCCAGGTCAACTCCGGCCCTACACCAATACTGGGGCAAGCCAGGACCCAAGGGGTCCTCAGAGCTGACAAGCATTGCCGACTGTGCTGGCAAACACCACACAGTGTTAAGCCTTCCAGCATAGTCCTTCCAAAGACCTCCCAGAAATCCTTCTTCCAGATAAAGCTGAAGACTATCCAGAGTCCACTCCAATGGACACGGAGTGACACCAACCACAAGTTCCCCTTGCTGGACTGAGGACAGGGAGCTCTTTATGAGGAGGAAAACTAGTTTGTGTCCTGCTAGGAGCAGTTTCCAGGCTCCCTGGCATGCAAGGAGAATGGCATGGAGCCTTTTGATTCTTCACTCTTATTATTTTTACAGTTGGGGGTTTTTTTGTTTGTTTGGTTTGGTTTTTTTACACTGCAAGAATCTGGTCCGGATGTCTAACTTACCAACTATAAATTTTTATAGTACTTGTGGAAAAGAATAGCAGGAGGACATTTTCATTTGTTCGTATCTACTTAAACAATCCCTGTCACAGTACCTTAGCATTCACACTCATTACCTTAGGCAGATAGTTATCTGACTTGTTCCCATAAACCTCAAACAATAGACATTTTATAAACCCCAGAAGAAACTGTAAACTCCAGTTCTGAACTACCCTTACCAACTCCAAACCTAAAACTACACCACCTCAGTGGCAAAGTACTCCGTCTACGTTTTGTCTTACCCTCAGCACAACCGCTCACCTTCCTCTCTGTATAAGACTTCTTGTATATTGGAAGGTTGTTGTCACATGCCCTGCTTTGTCCTTCATTTTCTACATTAAGCAAACAATTCTCTCAAACTTTGCCTCATTTTCTAAACTGCTTAATAAACTTCAGCACTTCCCTGGGACTTTCTCTAATGTCTGGATTTTTCTTTTGAAAATGATACTCCAAATACATTATCCAAATCCATCCTTTTATTTTCTTTCACAATGCAGGATCTTGTCTTGACAACATCATACTCGTACTTTTGCTCATTCGATGGTCCGCTATACCACCAGATCCTTTTTTGAAGTACTGTTGCTCACTCACTTATTTCCATATTGTATTAGACTATTTGATTTCTCCTTCCCAGCATTTTGCTCTTGTCCATATTGAATTTCAGACCAAATCTTCCATTTGTCAAGGTTACTTTGAATTTTAATCCTTTCCTTTCCAAAGTGCCTGCAATCCATCTGTATGCTGTCATCCACCTACTGCGTAAATGTGCAGTTTATGCCATCAACAGAATAATTAATGAACATTAAGGATCCTAGAAACAAAAAGCTGAAATATTTTCACAGCCTGACAGCAAACCATTGGGAATCTACAAATCTGCACTCTAGGAGTAATCAGCTATGCATGTGGTCTACAGTAATTTAATTTAGTCTGTATTTTCAGTTTGGTTAATGAGAAAGTCATCTTGTAGTGCTATGCTGAAAGTCTTCCCAAATTCTCCTAAAAAGCTTTCCCCTTTTTTCCTTTCCCTGCTAGGCCAGGTACCTCAGAGAAGAAAAACAGATTAGTTCAACATGATTCATTCTTCACAAATCCAAGCTGACTACTTCTCACTACTTTATGATCCTCTAGATTCATACAAACTCATTATATATTTTGTTCCTATGTATTTCCAGCAATCAAATTTAGGTCAGGTTACATTTCCTTGAATCCTTACTCTCCCTCTGCTTGAAGACCAACACTAGGCCACCCTCTTCTATTCCCCTGGGACTTCCCATTCTCAGAGCTGCTTGCAAAACGTTCGACGATCACTGCAGTTGTTTTCTGCATAACTGTATCGTGAATTTCCTTAGGTCCTATTTACCTAAATACCGTCAAGGTGTCTTGAGCCAATTCTTTTCCTGTTGTGTTCTGCACTCTCACATTATTAATTTAATAGCGTTAAATATCTGACTATAAATCATCTTCCTTCTGATGACTGAAGTGTAAAAAACCCACACAGAATGTCTTCACTTATCATACATTATAGGCCTGCTAACACTAAGAAGGTAAAAAAAAAAAAAAATCAATCCAGGGTTGCCGTTCAATATTTTCTTATGTCTGTCTCATTCTTCTAATGTATTCACAGAACCTTTCTTATTAGCCTGCTTTTCCCAGAGGAAATGAGATTCATGTAATCATGCTCCCACGTGGTTCCTTCCTCTTGTACTAACTTTTGAATCTACAACTGGCCAGTTTCGATTTGCAGTTTTAACAGACAGCGTCCCAAGGATAATCAAGTTCTGTAAGTTTGTGGAAATCAGCTGCCCATGGAGGAGAGAGGTGCTCGTGTCCCAGCACAGCGTCCCTGCTGAGAAAGGCAGGCAGCATGGAGCCATTACACACTCTGCTTGGCAGCAGCTCCCTGTCCAGCAGCACGTACGCACCGGCTGGACAGTCGGCACGAGCACAGCTCCTGCCTAGCCACAGCACAGCGACTGCCTCGCACCCAGAGAAGGGGGAGCATGAGGAAAGAGGTTTCACTAATTCCATTGTTGACGGACAAATGTATTTTCTTTTCTATCCTCTTCTGGCTATAACTCATTTTTCTGGTTTGGTCCTCACACGCTTTTTTGTTCTTTATGTTTGCCTTCAGCAAAAGGTACATCTACACTGCTAGATAAAACAGGGCGAGGCAGGGAGCACAAGCACAGACAGTTGACTGTCTATACTGCTTAACTTGGCAGGTTCTCCAGCAGGCACAACCTACATCATCAGCTCACTCTCTTTCCTCTCTCACATTCAAGGGATATCACACACCAGAGACCATGCCCAACAGGAAGCACGGCCAAGACTGCATCCAATTCGGCTCCTTCCAACCTCTCGCAGTCCTCCAATGCTGTTCCCAAAAGTTCTGCACTCTTAAAATCTTCCCACTGTCCTCACAACATGTACCCTCAGCTCCACCCTGTAAAAACACCATTCTTGAAGGGCTGTATCACTGCCTTGGATAATTTCAGGTATTTTTAACTGGAAAGCCCTGCCCTGTCCCACACAAACAGTGACTGTGCATTAACAATGCTGAAGCATGTGATATTAATACTGCCTTCAGGAAATTAAGTGTGGCGAGCCTAGAGCAGACCCAGCGCCATGCGCAGCTCTGTGTGGCACAGTGTGGGCTCTGCCAGTCCGTGCAGTTCAGTTTGAATGCCCTATTTTCATTTTTACAGGATAATTTACTGAAAAAGTCTCCTCGCCGTTCTCTCAGGTCCCCTGTTTTACTCCTTTGCTTCCTTCCACACAGGTGCCAGACAACCTCTGCTTCCTGAACATCTCCACAGCATCCCATCACAATCCCAACTTCCAGCTCCCAGTCCTGCATTTCCAGTGGTGCTTTTTGGCCTACATCTCTCTCCCTCCAAGGTGATGTTTTTACCTCTGTCCCTGAGCCTGGCAAGAAGTTCTTGACTGTAATCGTCCGGCCCAAAGCTGGGAAAGGTGCCTCCATGACACTCCTCATGAGGGGCTGCACCAACGCTGGTGAAATGCCCCGTCTCTTTTCAACCTCATCCAAGATCTGAAACAAAAACATAAAGCAACAAAAACGCGTCAAGGAGGAAGAGGGAGGTTGTCAAGGAGGAAGAGGGAGGTAACACCAGGAATAATGTGCACCAGCATCTAAATTCTCTCCTTAACCCAGCATTGACATGGAGACTTGAATCAAAAGGGAGAAGATAAGAGATGCAACTGGAAACCCTTCATTTTCCTCCACAAGAGGAACTCAGCACTGGTGAGGTCAATGGGAGCCTTACCCTTGTAAACTCCCCTTAACCCATCGAGCCAGGACCCCTTTTAATCTCTCGATGCTCGCGTACTGGCAGTTCTGCAGAAGGAACAAGCCAACAGCTGACAATCTATTTTTAATAGTATTTTTTCTAGGTTCTGGAATTAGCATGTGGTTGCCTTGCCAACACCATTTTAACCCCCTTCTCAAGCCATCAGCTTCCCTAATCCCCATTCTTCTGGTGCTGGCTTCACTTTCTGCCTGCAGCACAAATTCCCTTCCTCTCTCCCCCTCACCTTAGAGAAGAGGTTGAAGCATCCAAGACGACTCACAATACAGTAAACTTCTGGGAGACGCTTCCCTTTCCCAGTGGGCTTGCAAGAGAAACAGAAATATACACGTACAAAAAAAAAAAAAAAAGTCAGTTATAACTACTGCAGAGACCAAATGACTGCTGTCTTAGCACCCGCAACTCGCTGGCTGGTTCAGAAAACGGCATGCATTTCACAGCATGCTGTGGAAGATAACACTTCAAGCCTGGTTCAAAACTTTGACACCTAAAAATAGTGAAGAAAAATGGGCCCATAAACAGTACAATCCCAACCTTCCTAAGTCAGGCAGGGCAGACTGCTCTACAGAGACAACTCTGAGCCTACAGGCCCAGTATAGGTTTAGAAAACTATTTAACAGCTATCTAAACCTAAGGGAGATAAATTCTACCCTCAGCCTAGCAGTGGAACAACAGTCCGTGTTCATAACATTAAGCACCAGCATGAGGAAAAGGCAAAAAAGCTGTGTTCGGAGTGGAGGGTGGTACTCAGAGAGCAACCTTGGCACTAAGCAGAAAAGAATAAAGCTGGTCTGCTTCCACCCTTTTCTTCCACACTGAAAGAGAAGAGCAGCAGCTTTCCACTCTCCATAAAGGGTGCTAGTAATATCAGCCCCAGAGAGGGGTGGTCTCCCTTCTGCTAACAAACAGAATCATGGATAATTACCAGCAACCTCCGACAGTATCCAAACCGCCTGCTCCCATCTTCCCCAGTCAGGACAAATGAGAATGTCTCACTGCAGAAAGAGAAAACAGAATGAAAAGATACCCATCACTCACACACAAAATCTCTGACTTGTGAAAAGATTAAGGGCTTATCTGTATTTCCAATATGCCCTTCTCAGGGCACTGTATGATTTTCTACCATAACAGCTCTCATATTTCATTAGCTGGATATACAAATCCATTCTGCATAGATCGGGATACGAAGTACAGTATTTACCTGGCAAACTGATGGATGGGGGCCCAGTCCTTAGCATCAGGGAAGCAAAACTGGGGAATAGCTTTCAACTGGTCTTCTGCCTCACGCATGAATTTGAATGAGCGTTCAAGCTAGCAGAGAACAGCGAAAAGGAATGTTTCCAATTAGTCATGTGGGGATGGAACGACTTCAAATATTTTTCCTGTGACAAATGAAGAGGTGATGATAGAGGCTAAGCGTCTGCCTGGAAGACATTAAAATTTCTGTGATTCTGGCTCACCTAATCTTTAGATACCTTAAAGTAACTTTCTGCTCCCAATTCCACCAAGCCCTACTTCTGCAACACCTGCCCCTGAAACACTGTGCCCCCACTCTGGGACATGCATTCCAGAAAAGGGAAAAGCAAGCTGAAGTCTGAGGGGAACTCCTGTTACATCTCATTTAGAAAGACAGTCACATTTGCTCTGCGTTTGTCCCGTTTCTCATTCCCTGTTCTTAGCTAGACTATTGGAAAAAGCAGTGCCCTCCCTTTAAGGGCATGTCTTCCTTGTACTCATCGTTACACAGCGTTGGTTCTCCCTAAAGAGAAAGAGGGAGAAAGGGAATAATTGCATTAAAAAATGTAGCCAAGGGCAGCAAAAGATCTAAACAGTTGCACTTCCAGCGAGGAAGAATATCATGACAATTCTCAAGGGGTTATGGCAGCTCCTGTATCTTCAGTCTTATTGAACAATGCCACAGCAAAGGGATTACTAGTATAATATGTGATCAGAGAAGCTGTGGCTCCTCCAGCTCTGTAGTGCACAATGCATTCTGAGAGGCACTAGCCAGCCGGTTCCTGATAGGCACCACACCTTTAATGGGAACTGCTGGGTAACTTCAGGGACATAGGCAGCCCCGGCCTGCTTCTTGTGCAGTGACACCACAACAAAGTACTCAAACAGCTGCCTCTCTTGATACTCGATCAAGTCCCGTTCCAAGGTTTGGTACCGTGGGGTTTGCTTCAGGCGAGATTTCACATGGACCAGACGCTGGCTGTGAGCTGCAAAGAAAGAGATAAGAGACTGTCACTTTGTTTAGTCCTTCGCAGAGAGCACCCAAGCGCTTTGCAGAGATTTATGGAGAAACTCACCACCATCTCACTGCTTTTACTTTGTTGGTGGCTGAGCAAGAAGCGGGAACCATCTGGAAGGTGCACTGCAAAAACTGACAAAGCATCACAGTGACAGAGATGGGACGTACTTGCGAGTACCATCACCCTGTGGACATAGGCTTGTCCAAAAGCACATAGAGGCAGATCACGAGAATGTGCACACACCAGAAGTAGCCTGAAGAACTCTGGCAGCAGAAGGATTTAATGGATGGCTTTTATAGGCAAAAACAACCTAAAGTGAGGTCCAGATGGGACACAGAGTAACAGACAATGTCTGGACATACATACTAGCCCTTGTTTATGTATCAGTCAAAGCAAGCACTGTTATGTGATTGATTACCTTTGTTCAGAGGAGATTGTGGGTAGCGATCCCCAGTTTTATAAGCCCAGCTCTTAAATACTAGGTCAGGCTAGGGCTCCATTGGCTGAGTAATGCTGGGGACTCCCAGGTTGTTATAACATGGACTTGGGCTGCAGGCCAGCGACAGAAAATATGAGAAGAGGTGCAAATGAAAAAGGCTGGCTCATGCCAGTTTTTCCTATGCCTAAAGCTAATCTCTCAGGACCATGTTTCTACAAATTCACCCAAGACAATGGGAAAATGAGAAAATCTGCCAAGCAAGCTCTAACTGCAACACATAGGAGCTGTGGGACAATAAACACTCCAGCATGGAAAGTAATGAAAAGCTGCCTGCTGGGAAGAGACCAGATGAGATTCCCTATGACCATCCCCCTGCTTTGCTTTACAGTTGCATCCCAAATTAAATCTCCATGAGTCTCTTCTACCTCTACTACAAAAGAAAAAAACAAAACAAAAAACCCAATAAACTACAAGCAGAGACTACAGCACACTTCCCACAAATGTGCATTTCGCCAATGTGGGTGGCAATGTGATGTTTTTGACAGAAAAAAACGCCATTGGGATCCTGCAGAAACACTAAATAAATAAAAGAGCTCTGCTTGAGAGACAAGGCTTCCTACAAAATAGTATATACTTTAGAACAGACTCTTGACTCTTTGTCTGGTTAAGATGTGCCACTCATGGACTACTTCAGACAATGTAATTCAGAGCATTCTCAAGGTGCCTTTTAAATTAGAACAAAGAGTTAAACAGTTCCTGGACAGCAAAATTCCTGGAAAAACGGCTTAGTTTCCTTTCTCTCATCAGCTATTACATTATTTGCTTTAAGGCTGTAATTCTTCAGAAGCTTTCAGAAGCGATCTCTGTTTTACCATGGACTTCAAAAGAAGCAGTGTCACAGCAATGCTGAGTGCTTCTGAAAAGCCCACTCAAGCTTTGCCTGTTTATATTCTGTGCAACCTGCTAAAGATACCAGGAATGTACTGCTGTCATCATGGCAGAGTTTGTCTTTGAACATTTTCCCTTCCCAAGGGTCAGTATTTATGGCTCTGACACACAACCTGATGCAGTCTGATGATTTACTGTGCTTCAGCTGATGCACAGCGACTTGCAAAGCAACGAGAACTTGCTGGTAAGTTTGGTCTGTTAAGTGAAACATATAAAATGGAAAGCCTTCCCCTCCCATCCCTAAAAAAAAAAACACTTGCTAAATCATCTCACCTTCCTAGTCTTTAAACACTTGCTAAATCATCTCACCTTCCTAGTCTTTAAAAATATGAAAGTCCACAGTATGATAAGGCAAAGAACAAAACATAGCTACAACCAGAATAAATGGTTACTGAATGCCAAAGCTCCTATTCACACTTTTCTAGACATGCAAGTTTTTCTCACAATTGCTCAGATCCAGGTATGGATCTGGATATTGCTCAGACCCCAGTGCTGTTAGATCTGGGGTGACTGCTCCATCTCCAGCATCCCCTCCACAAGCAGTTCCTAGTTGCAAGAGAAAACAGTCCTCTCTCTGGATTTATGTACATCCACGTTCAATTTCCAACAACAAAAACTTTTTATGAGCAGCGAGATCAGCAAAGGAAGAGACAAGAGAAAGCAGGTTCCTCTTCTCAAACTCACTGAGCTTATACTTTTTCAGGTAGCGCTTAAGTTTGGCTGTGAAGATGGAGATGTGGGAACATTGCAGTTGCGAAGTCTGTATCACAGCAGCGAGGAGGCATGCTACCCAGACAGAGTGCAGCGTTTTTCCTCTAGAAGATTTTAGTGGAGTGGTAGGGCTGTACACTATCATGGTATTTTCTTCCCCGTGTTCTTGGTAGATATGGGCCCAAATGTACTGCCTGGATCCAGACTCAGATTGAGATCAAGTCAGGATTCATTCAGGATCAGAACTGATGGCTCTAAGATCTCCTGAGCTCTTCTCTCTAGGTTCTGGCCAACAGACTAGGCAATAGACTTATGCAAAGCTGTCAGGCTGGGAAGTACTAGGATGCTACAGAGGGTGAAGTACATGATTCACCTTGGCCATTAGGAACAAGAGTTTGAGTCTTCCTGGCCATATCTACATTGTCTTTCTCGGCTACATATGAACATGGACCATAGTTTATATGGACCACAGTTGATAACACCATGTCTCAAGCTGATTGTGAATGAAGTTCCTGAAGGATCTGGACTCAAACCCTTTCCCCCTCATCTCCAGGCTAGCCTGAGAGCCTGTCAAAAGGTAGGCAGCAGCAGAAGGTTTTGGTCTGTACAGATACAAAGTTTCCCAATGACCACGAAAGCAAAAGCAGGCATATACGAGTACTTGCATGGGAAGTGGTGCTCACAAACATATGATGGAACCTCAGACTGTGGTTTGTTCTAAAAACACAGAAGAGGGTAAGTAAGGATAAGCACTCCTAAGCACAACCCACTGAGGCTGACACAGAGTGGGAACTGCTGCTTGTCCCTGCCTCTCCAGCTTGGGAACCGATCAGCTACCCAGCTCAGGTGTGCATCTGGACCAGAATCAGGAAACTTTGGAATATGAAGGAGTTTCAGTTTTGCATTCCAACTCTGTTGAGATTTTTAATTTGCTGTATAAATCCCAACAAGACTACTGCCACCAGCGTGCCACAAGGGTGATTACCAATTCAAGAAGGTTTGAGAATAACATTCTAGAGACCAATGTACCACACAGCTCTACTGAAGTGAAGCAAGCAGTGCAGCACTTCATCACAATTCAGCAAATGCAGAAAACTTTAATTAGCAATAAACTAAATAGTGCAATGCCATTTTTCTAGCCAGTCTGTCTTGTGAGTTTAGCAAATGTGTAGTGGAGCTTTGGACATCCTGTCCTGCTGTAATGCTGCCTCTGGTAACCTGTTCACATTTGTGACCTTGTTCTTGGAAAAGTCTCCCTGTACTTTCACAGTGCCCAAGCCATCTCCTATGAAAATCAATGTAAAAAGCTTTGATGGGAGTTGGTATAAACACTAGTTTTAGACTCCTATAGTTCTTTGCCTATGGATCTTCTCCCTGCACTTTTGAGGCCTTTGTTTCCTCTCTGCATTCTGCGTGGAAACAAGCTCTTTCTTCAAAGCCAGAGCAAAGAGGAGAGATCTCGACCACCCCAGGAACTCAAGAGGACAGTTTATCAGGAGCCATGTGTTCTCTTCACATATTTTCCTTACCTTTCAGCTTCTCTTCAGTATCACTGTCTGATTCACTGTTTTCATCTGTAACTAGGAAAAAAGAAAGGGGAAGATGAAGTAAAGTATAATAGTGCATTTCTTACCACTGGCATGATAAAGCCAGGCCTAGCAGCTTCAGAAAGACAGATAGTATAGATGGATCTATACTGAGGATCTGTACTGAGGATCTCATCCTTTTCAAGGATGCACATACTCACAAACACTTCACTCACCAACCTTAACATCTTCCCATTCATTCAGGGGATAAGAAAAAAATGCAAAAACATAAATTTTACACACCAAGAGAACTGCATGAAGAGCAAAACGCAAGAGCAGCATTTTACCCATGTCTGTATGAGCACAACATCAAGGCAAAATACTGATTTATGTGTTTAGCCTGAATACACAATAAATAGCTTACAGGACAAGGGAAAAAAGCCAATGGCAGACTGAATCAGACTCAAGGTCTCTGTGGTCTGATAGCTTATTTTTGACAGCGATCAGCAGCCTCTGATGCTGCAGAGATGGGTCTAAAAATATTGTAGGAATCAGTGTGGGATGCTGCCCGTTCCCTTGAAAGTTCACTCATATCCTTGTATATAAACATACACACACACACAAAGTTTACATATAAAATAGGATAAATACTAACAAGTAATTGCAGGAAATAAACAGAGCTGCAAGTCACCTTGCACTAGAAATTATGATATTTTGGGGAAAAAAAATGTGTCGGAAAGATAATTTTAAATCTTACAGAGAAAAAACTTTTAAAAATAATTGCTCTACAGTATCTGAACAGTTCTGGTGAGCTAAGAGCCAGCACACCCCCAAGCTCTAAGACTTCTCAATTGACAGTGGAAGGCTGAAAGTCTCATTCTTGAGATGGTAGAGATGGTCCTACAGTCAAGAGCCTAGAAATCCCGATTCCCAGATGACGCTATTTGTTTATTGGGATGCTGAAGAAACTAGGCCTGTTTCAAAATCTATTATCTTCTACTGGACAGTTTGGTCAAGTGACACATTCCCGCAAAATATTTTGATCTCAACAGATCAGCCTCTTTGGACAGAACATTCCTCTGCAAAGCTTCCAGCCAGTTCCAGAAATAAACATCAAAAAGAGGAGACATTTCTGGTGCGACCTATAAGGTTATCATGAAGAGCAGTGGAACGAAAATGAATCAAGAAAAACAAAAGATTGCCCTTTCAGGAAAGGCTCTCGGGCAGCAGAACAGTCTTTGGCTTCTCAAAAGAAGGGGTGGAAGCCCCAACTCACTCTCACTCTGGACTGGAAGAAGTGATAGAAAACATCACTTAAACCACCAAGTGAGCCTAAACTCAAAGACAAGTCCTCAAAAGGTCTTAGATGTATGATGATTCAAAGTTCCTTTACCTTTCCCTGAATTGCTCTCTGTAGACTGCGATAGTCTCTTGACACGTTTCTTTCCCCTTCGTGCCTCATAAATAGCATTGATTTTCAACACAAGCTGCTCAGCAAAGCAAACACACAAACAAATGAAAAAAGGTTAGTTTCTTCCCCAGACAGAGAGGAAAGTTTTAATTTTATTGAAAGTGCTCCATTACCCAATCCTGACCCTATAGAACCACTTCACATGATGGCCCAGAGTTAACAACTACCAGCGTCTGTCCTGCACAGTAACCTACACCTACACTGCCAATAACCACACTCACTCTGGTACAGCAGCATGCTGGCACAGCAGAAGCCCAATGCAAGAAGCCAGTGAAAGGCCGGGGTCTAGGATCCTTCCATGCTTCCAGCCCAGCACGGTCTGTGTGGCCACAGGAGCTCGCTGGTGCCCACCTGGGCCTCTCGGTGCCCTGCTCCACTGAACACCAAGGGGTTCCTTGGGAACCTGCCCTCATCTGCAGGTTTGAGAGCAGCAAACTTGCAGTGAGGATAACTGCAAATTTTAATAGCTTTATGTCTTTGACATCTGCTGCAGAACGTGCTGGAGACACCTCTCTAGGAGAATGAGATATGTCTAGGGTAACCCCATTCAGGGTTACTTTTGGTAAAACTGCTGTTGGCATGTTATGCACTGTCCACTAGGAGAAGGAAACACTGGTCACCAGGCAACTTAAGAGTTTCCAAATATTGACTTTGGATAGGCTTTTGTTGTTGTTGTTTTTGTTTAAATGCAGAGTAATCAGGGCTCTAGTTTTGGCCCCACCCCAGTACAGGAAAGACACGGACAAACTGAAGCAAGCTCAGCAGAGGGCTGGAGCACGGATATGGTGGGGGGCAGGAGCAGCTCCCTCCGCGGCGAGGAGAGGCCGCAGGAGCAGGGCTTGCGCCGCTGGAAGAAGAGGCAGCTGTGCGGGCCCCTAAAGCAGTCCCAGCACCTATGAGGTGTCACTGCAAGGATGGAGCCAGCCCTGCACAGTGGAGCCTCGTGGCAATGTGAGAGACAATAGGCACAAGTTGAAACAACTGAGGTTCAGACTGGATTTAGGGACAAACTGTTTCACTGTAAGGACAGTCAGACAGCAGCACTGGTCGCCTAAAGGGCTTGTGCCATTTCCATCCTTGGAGGTTTTCAAGCCCCGACTGGGTAAAGCCCTGGGCAATCTAGTCTGAGCTCAGAGCTGACCTTGTCTCGAGCAAGATGTTAGACTAGAAACCTCCTGAGGTCCCTTCCCACCCAAGTTATCCTGTGATCCTATGATCTTGTGATCCAAGGGATGAGGACACAGAGCCCCCAACGCTGGGGCAGTTATGCGGGGATCTCAAGACCATTCAAGCTAGCGCACGAGGCATTCGAGGCTGGTCGACTCTATGCCATGACATCGACCAGCCCGAGAAAAGTGGGAAAAGGCATCCCATGCTCATAGTGTCCCAAAGAGCCAAATTCAAGAGGTGTCAAAAATGTTTCCAAACGAATCACAGCCCTTTTGCTCCAGCAGCACTGCAGTGTTACTGATTACTTCACAACAGATGCTGAGCACAGGGCAAATGTATCACACAGGGAATGCTACAGGAATTGAGATGGGTGGAGGCCAGAGGATCTGAACTACCTTATACTAGTGACTTGGTTTTGCAAATCCTTAAATACTGGGCTTTCCAGCTGACCAGGCTTCAGTGATGGGCATAGCTGGGCTCACTAGCTCATCTAGTATCTCCTGGCTCCCCATCCCTCCTCAAAAGGGAGAGGAGTTGCAGAAGGAGCATGCCAGGCTTCCCTGGGCTCCCTTGAGCAGAGCTGCCTCCTCCTCAGAGTCCCAGGCAGGAGCAGCAGGACACGGCCAGAGCTTTCAGTTTTATTCCAGAACGTTTGGGAAACCCTGTGCTTGTATGCACACACGCTCAGAGACCAAGGTGAGACAGGCAGCGTGAAAGAGGCGCCTGGTAACTCAGGATGCACTTGGTTGGGGGAGTCCGAATACAAACTTTCAAGTGGCAGGATGCTCTGGTGTGGAAGTATGGCCTCCATGGGCCAGCTCAGCTCAAGTCTCATGTTGGTTTTGTCACTGCACACAGTAACTCTCACTTCTGAGCTCATTCTGCAGGACTGCTCAGAGGCATTGCCCAGTAAATACGTACTCGTAACCTTAGCTTCACAATGCTTGACGCAGAGCTAAGTGCTTAAACACATATACAGAAGTGTAGGTGCGCAGGGAAATAAAACCCTAGACATTTGCAGCCATGGGCTCCTCCCTCAAGAGCTGAGGTATAGAGTGAGGGCAATCAGATATGCAAATAAGAACACAGATCTAGCAATCAAGACACAAAGAGGAGATACAAACACATCCTTTTTTCACCTAGAAGAAAACTGTGGGTTCTGAAAAAATCATCACAGGCAGGCCCTGGTAGCCTCTGCTTGTCCTACAAAGACTGGGACAAGCAACTGTGGTTTTATAACTGTGTTTTTGAAATTTTCAACAGATAGCTTGCTGCCAAACCTCATTTGGACTGATCACCCTTCCTGCTAGATCTGGAACAAAAATAAGTCATACTGTATCCAAAAACGAAGAAGGAGATGATGCTAGGAGAAAATGCCCATGACTACAGACAACTCCTTTCACCACTCTAATGTCATATTTTGCTTTGCTCACCTTAAGTCATATCCCACCTTGAATTAGAAATAGCCAGCACATGAACCGGACCTAGCAAAGAACAACAGATTGCCAGCAGGAACACCAACAGTACACACAGACCATTACTGACTGCCCATCTGTCAAGAAAGGAAAGCAGCAAGGTGGTGGTGTTCCCCCACCCCTTGACCCCCATAAAACATTCATTGCTTTTTTCCCCTCTGACAAGATTCAAGTTTTGTCCAAAAACGAAACTATCGATTTTATTTTTTTAATTCTTTCTGACAACCATGTTATCTCAGACAGAAAAATAACTTCAAGACTTACAGAGATATTTGTGCTCTATGTCCTTCAAGGATAAAGGACAGGAGTCAAGTCAACTGGAAGGACAACAGCTATGCTGCAGGGACACCATGTTGGAAACCGAAGAAAACTTTCTCTCATACTCACACTCCTGCCTGGGAGAAGCCAAGCAAAAGAGAGAAATCTCTAGAGTTACCTTGGGAATCTTCCTTCTCCTTTTGCCATTCTGAGGGTCTCCCAGGGAGAAGAAAGTGTCATCTGGACTGCTGGGGGTCGAGGGAGGGCTGATTTTGGATGGTGACCCAGTTCCATCACGGCTCAGTTTCCGTATATCTGGCAGTTTGAAACTCCGGCGCTCTGAGCTTTGTCGGAAAAAAATGGGCTTCGAAAGTAACTGGAAAAGGAGACAGAAATGGAGGAGAAGGAATGTATGAACAGAGAACTTCATGCATCTCTGCTTTGTTGCTAACACTGTCATGGCAGTAAATCCAGTGAGGTAATCACAGCACTCAGCTGTCAAAATGGCATAACTTCTGGGAAGGCAAACAGATTTCTGCGCACATAAGAAACTCACCCAACTTCCAGAGCCACACCAGCACTATCTTGTCGAGCAATTTAACCATCCCATATTCATTCCAGACCATAACTCAGTCTCAGGGGCTAGCCAAGAAGCCTCACTCCAGTGTGCAAAAAAAATCCCAAGACTTGAGCAATACAGAGGCTGGGACTGTAAACAGGACAAGACTAACCAATCAGCCAACCACAAGCATTTGGGATAAGGAGCAGCTGGCAAAGAGGGACAAGAAGCAGTGAGACCATGAAAAGCATGGTCAGTCTGGCCCAATATTCTGTCTCTGCCAGTGGCCAGAATCAAATACTTCAGGGGATGGTACAAAAAAAGCCATTAGAGACAATAATGGAGATGGGTTCCCCCTAAACCCATCAGTAAGTTCAGTGGGAGCACAACAGTTGATATTTAAGTACCAGCATAGAGCTCTTAAGTCCCTGACCAAAAACAGCATCAGAGAAGGAGAAAGTTCAGCTCCAGATAAATGACGGTACCTCCCACCACAAAGATGTTCAATAAAGATTTTTTTTTGGTCTTCTTCTACAGAATTTCCTAGCTGTTATCATGATAAGATTAAGTTGCCCCTCTTCTGGGCAGTGTACACGCATTTGCAAAGGATATATCTACATGGCACAAGGAAATGCAAGGGTGCGGTATCTGAGGTAATTCTGAACAAGTTACAGCAGCACTGTAGCTGAGGTAGTGCAACAGTCTGCCCAGGTTAACAGACATCCTCAGCAGGGTTATTAGCCAGACTGATCCATTCAGGCTAGTGCAGGTGTCTCTGGATGGTTTGGCAGAAGACAACTCACAGAAATGCCTACCACCCAGTGAGAAGTCACACATTTTAATGAGTCTTGGAAGAGCCTTAAGTTGAAGACTCTCATCCTTAATTGCACTAGGGATATAAGCTGCTTCTGAACAGTCTGCACAGACCCAGTTCCGTCAGTGTCTGGCCTGAGCAGGCTCTCCAGTATGACTCTCACTGCAGTTGCAAGTAAGTTAGTTGCTAAGAGAACCGCAGTACTTGTTTCCTGACTCTTGCAGACCATGGCTTTCGGATGTCAAAGCACCCTACTGGAACACAGTTACTCCCATTCAGCTCCTTGATAACTGTCCTGCTGAGAACCATCTCCAGGGTGAAAGGCATGCCTATGCAACACTGACGCCCCATTTTGATGGCATGGCTGGGAAAAAAGAGTGCATGGGCCCTTACAAAGCTCTATGAGGAAAATCAACTTCATCCTAGTACGGAGGATCTATGCTGCTCTGGACCTAACTAGTAACAAGGAGAATGGATTGAGACCTGCAGGGGCAATTTTTACTTTGAAGTGTCAAATTACCTAAAAGAACCTCAGCTTCTGATTAAGCTGGTTGGAAAACAGCAACATTTCCAGAAGACACGTGGTATTTCTTAATGTGCTGGGTAACAGCTCTAATAATAGCTGCAACTTGGAGAGCATGGGAAAACCCTCTGGTCAGGAAAATCATGTTTAGATCCCTGCTATCTGCTGTGAACCCAATTGTTGCCAGGATGATCTCTGCTTGTCACATTGCCCATGCTGTTTTGGGCTTCGACTATCTAAATGAAGCACAGAAATCAACCAAAACAGCTCTGGAAGCTGAGAGCAGGGCTGGCCTTCATTCAGTAAGCCTTGCGATCTGAGAAAAAGGTGCAGACTAACATTTCCTCTCTTCTTTTGGTCTCACTGCTAAGGAGGAAAACGGTACTGGCCTGTGAGCTACACTGCTGGTCAGGAAACAAAGAGAGTTCACAGTGTTAGGCCTGCTCCCTAGCCAGGGGCCTGGCACTGCACTAGTTGCCAGCAAGCAATGGCTACGTTCTCATCAGGGAGAGAACTACAGGGCCATCCTAAAGGAGGGGACAGCAGAGGCTCCTTGGCATCTGCATGAATAGACTGCACACTGCCCACAGACACTGAGCCAAGAGACTGCAGGCTTTGACTGCCCAAGCATTTAAATGCCACTTTGATGGAGGGGGAAGGGGAGCTTTCTTGCACTGGAGGTCTTCCCAGGGTCTGCAATAAAGGGTGAAGAACCTTTATTTTTCAGTAAAGTTTTTCATGGAAGACCACCACTTCTGGATTCCCATTCTGTATCTGTTGCCCCTAAATCCACCTGTTCCAAGGAGAGTAGGATGACATCTCAGCTCATCCTCACTCCAAATTTATTAAGACTCTGAAGGCAGGTTTCCAGAGCTGAGGGGCTGAAGTCTCAAGCTAGACACTACTGCACTCTTTGCACACATTAATTGGCTGAAACTCAAAAGCTGCTCTTTTCTTGCTATACATTTGTTGCAGAAATTGCTCAGGGTACAGGGACACACATTCACAGACTTTGCTGGGGACACACATTCATATACAAAATGGTCCTTTTATCACACTAGGCTTAGGATGCAGCTGTATAGAATCCCAGTGTAACACCAAAGAATTCAGTCCCTTTTGATCCAATTGCTCACTATTTAGTGCATGCCTGACGCAAAGTACCGCAAAGTACCGGGGAAGGTAGCCCTGCTGTGAAAAAGAACAAAAGCCAAGAAATCGTTCCCATAAGGAATGGTTTTCACCTTGCTAAAGGACAATAAATCCCCTCCCCCTATCACAACCTACCCTACAGGGATTAAGATGTAAAGAAAAGAACCCTGACGTTATGAAAGTCAGCGGCAAAACTCCCCTGTTTTCACATAGGACCAGGATTTCACCCAAAGGCTTTCTGGAACAGGAGATACAGCCACATGAACCAAACTACCTTAGTTGGGGTCCCAGGTACAGAAGAGGTGGGGGATGCTGGGAAGGTCAGGACACATTTCTTCCCCAAACAACGGCTGTTGGTCTCAATGTCTTCGTAGGGGTTTTCCTTTGACGGTGGATCTGAAACAAAAAGCCACATGCAAGAGATTATAAGTGCAGAAGATCCTCGAGATTTGCCATAAAAATCTGTTTGAGGATCTCCTGGCCTTCTCCCACCTCCCACATCAGACAAAGACTCTCCACAGCCCTAGAAGTCCAGCTGCTCACTGGACAGTGTCCAAACCCTGACACTGATGTATGCAGCCAGCCATAGGAACGTACCACAGAAACTACAGATGGAAAAGACCCAGCGAGTCCTCGAGTTCATTTCCCTGCCTTCAGAGGAGCTGTGAGGTTCTCATGCATATTGGCCCATAATTATATTTCCTTCCTTCCAGACTTCTGCTTTGAATTCTCTCCGTGTGGAACTGTGAGCTGAAGGCTAACAGAAAGCTCCTCTCTCTCCTGTACTAAAGGATGACCTCTGGTCATCATTTAATTGGGGCAGATGTGATGCTCCTGGGCTGAGTCTGCAGAAATATTTAATCCATTCTCTGAGCACAGACGTCTGTCAAACAGCGTAGGTTTTCAAATACATCTACCACTCACGGACACCTCAATTCCCACCTGCCCCACTTCAGACAGAGAGAAGCATTCCTCTCACCCAATCTAGGACATCCAAAGTGAAATCTGTCTGTCTGTCTGTCTCTCCCACTACGCCAAGAGACAGAAAGAGAAAGGGACACCTCTGAAGGAACATTCAGCCCATCCTTACATAGGACTCCCTCAGAAATACAAGGCTTGAATGACTATCCAGAGGTGTCCCTTTCTCTCCACTGACTCTGGAGACAAGTTACATGACTCATCCGATTTCAAATGCCCAAAATTAGGTATAACAAACTCCCTACATCCCACTCTTCTGCAGCGTCGAAAAGAAACAAACACAAATGTCTTCAAAGAAATATGTACAGTCCAAAAAAGCAGACTGTAACATTTCCATCACAGCATCCAAAAAATCAGTAACAAAGTCTCAGCCCAAGCACCTTCATGGGCAGACAACTTGTTACAAGACTTCTCTTTCATTACCATCCTTTCATGCCATCCCAGGGGACAGCTGGGAGCCAAAGCAACCAGCTTTCTCTTATTTTCGTGCAACGCTTGTCCGACAGCAAAGACTGGAGGGCACTAATGCTGCTGGCCTCTGGGAATAAGGACTACAGACAGCTCTATAATCTGTCTGCCCTGTGCACTCCCTCCTGCCTGCCCTGCTGGAGCAGGTGTGCTGCTGAAGGAACACACAAGCCTTTCCCAGTGCGGTCTTCTATGCTACTCCATGGCTCAGTGATACCCAGAAAGGGTAGAAAGCTAAGGACAGGAAAGCAAGCTGGTGGGAGGCTGACGAAGGAAGTCTGTTCCAACGCTTTGGCGGTAAATGTGCTCCTGTCCCTGAAAGAGGCTATTTATTGCAACAGCACACGTCAGTGCAGGATATACAGTTCAGCTGCCACATACTGGGTAGATGGGAGCAAAAAGAAATAAGAGCTTGGGTTCTGCTGCCTACCCCATCTTCACACTGCTTGGTAGTGTGTTCAGTTAGCCTCAGTCTAGAAGAATCATCCTGGTTTCCCTCTTTCTCACATATAAACCTTGACATTCACCCGCCCAATATCATTTCCGGCCTTCCAGGTAAAAAAAGGGTGAATGGGTGAAAGGAGGGTGAGGAAGGGGATCTATGTAACTTGCTGAGAAAGGGAACAGTTCTACCCCCAGCAGCTGTTCCTTCCCTAAACCATGCACATGTGGATGCTTGCACGTCCTCATGGACACACATGATCCTCTGTGGACAGCATTAGCGTTCTGTGGCTGAAAGACAGACTGATCAGTCCCAAAAGTCCTTGTCCCCCTCCATTTGTGCGGTTTTCACATGTTGTTTATCTTTTGGGGAGTCTCTCCACCTGTGGTCTTGTGAAAAACAAAATTGTAGGTTTGGTGGAGTCACCCCAGCTCACCCCTTTCCCCAAGCTTGCACAGTAACACCACAAGGACTGCAGGAGCCAATGGAAGATCATTAACTCCAGGAAAAGCCTAAATCCACAGCGAGGAAACAAAACACAGGCCCCAGTAGCTGACAATTACCCACAACTTCACTTTCTTCTCATCTTTGCAATTAAAAGGTGGAGGGGAGAGGAATTTCTTCCCTTGAAGAAGAGGTACTTGAGTGCTCTGCAAGCTTGGGACAGAGGGGTGCGCTTGTGTTCGAACGGACAGATTTGCCAATACAGCCACTTTGTAATGCTGTCCCTGTTATTCCAGCTGACAAGATGACCCTTACACACTAGTTTGAGACCTGGGTGGGGGAAAATTAGCAGCTGTTCAGGCATTCCCTCTCCCTTTGTCCCCGAAAGTAAAGGGAAAAAAGGCAAACATGGGGCCTCTAGCTCCACAAAAGAGGCAGAGAGCTTCACAAGTGTCAAAAAGGACAGACTGGCATCACCTTGGCTGCAACCAGTTCCAAAGAAATATGATTCCTTTGAGAGGTCTAAGCAAATATGATGAGATTTTACTCATATGAAAATAAGGCCCTGACTGCTCCTGAAAAAAAGCAGCTGCCTCCCGTACCAAACGGCACAGACCACCTTTCTAGGATAACAGCTGCAGGGTACGAACTGATGCAGCTATTCTGTTCCTATCGTCTTCCTGTTCTGCTAATCTTAGCCAAGAGTCTTCCAAAACCAGCCTACAGCTACTAAAACTTCTTAAAGTTTTTTTTTTCCAAAGGATACTTCTACTCTGTGCTTCTATTCTTCCATAAAAGGCCATCTAACTCACCATTCTAAAAAACACTGCATAAACGGAGAGTATTACAGGAAATAATCTCACAAATGGCATTGATCTGCCATCAAAGTTAGAGAGTGAAATAAAACTCAATTTCGAAGACTGTAGGATCTAGCTTTTTAATTATGATGGTACCTGGAGCCATACAAAATCCTCTTCCTGAACTGTGGAATTTGCTTCAGGGCTATGTTTTCAGTCTGTTAGCATTATCTCCACAGTAACAAGCTCGCTGCAAGGGACAGACCAGAGCTGTGAGAATTAGTCCTCAGGACAAAAGGTAGACAGAGGAAGGATGTCAGCAAAGAATAAAAGCTGGCTCCCACGTGCCTCAGGTTCATTTTTGAACCTGATGAGTTTTGAAATACTTTGTCTATTTTTGTTACTACTTGCCAATACTCTACATGAAGCATATCTTTTTTTGCATTTGGATAATAAATATACTTTCTTCAGTTCCTCTGGTGGGTCTCTGTTGACTACAAGTCTTCTGAGTTATTCAGTGTTTGCAGTCAAATCCCTCCCCTGTCCAAAGCTCCTACCCAGTATGTCTTCATAGACGTTTTCCTCAGATAAAGTGCGTGTGAGGGCCAACTTGGTCTGCGCGTACCAATCCACCCTGCCGTTCTCAGATGATGACTGCAGCAAGTCTTCAAACTCATATGACTTCCTGCATCATTGATGGGAGGGGAAAAGGAACAGAAAGGAGAGTGACATAGCTAAACAAATTTTATAACCAAATTATAGCACTTTATAATTCACTTCTCTGCAGCACGCGTCACAGTTGACGAAACGAGTTAGTGAGAAGAGAACATTTCACAGTCACATCCCATAGAAAGCATGAAAAATAACCACGTGAGATCTGTTACCTCTACCAGCTATACAAGTGAAGATGTTTCAGGGATTCTGTAGATTATCTGGATTGTCACGGCAATAGCTCGCTGTGAAGATGTGTCAAGTGTCCTGTTACGCTGCACAGAGCCTCAGGCCGTGAGAGGTCCTGTTTACAACACAGGTCCCTCAGCAGGACTAAAGGGTCTCAAAATCAGGTCCCTTTGAAGCAGTACAGAAGAGCAATACTCACATGCAGGACAGTGGAAAGGGAAAAGCAATCAAGTGCATTCCACTATCAAACCTGGAAAGTTTCAATTTCCCTCCCTCACCAAGCCGGGAATTTTGGTTTTTAAATGACAGTTTATACAGAGGGTATTAGAAACAGCTGTGTATTTTAGGCTCCCCACCCCAAAACGTGTGGGGTTACAACCATGGCGGGCAGAGAGGAAAGACAATAAAGCCAGACAAACATTAAGGCATCAGATCCAGTTAGAATAAGTCTGCTATGAACAGTGAAAACACTGCAGTAGAGTTTGAGATTATCAATCCAAACCTGGTTCCAGATGAGCTATATTCATTCTGCAAGTAAACAGATTTTACCCACATGCACACAAAATCTCCTCAAATCTTGGGCTTCAAGGTTAAGCTGGGCAATACAGTCACCGTCTCCAACAACGTGACCTTAAAATCCCAAATCTGCCATCACTTATCTCTTCACAGCTATCCTGTGAAGTTCTGCTGGCCTCTCATAAGTTCTCAGAGGTGTAACTGAGAGCTGAGTTATGGCCAGTAAGACTCTCAATTGCTAGCGATTACAAGCAGTCAGGGAAGATCCGAGTGTCTTGGTGAAATATGGGAAGGTGCAACATCACCATCAAGACCAGCACTTATGCCCAAAGCAGCCTATATACCTGTGGTCAGCGTTGTTCTTGTGCTTCCCATTCCAGAGTCTTCTGCTGACAGCTGATGGGGGAGGAGAGGAAGGAAGAGGAGGGGGAGGAATGGATGGCAGAGGGGGTAAGTTTCTTTTATTCCTAACTGCTGGTACCCAGTCCTCTTCCCCCTCATGTTTGAAAGTCCGTCGGGGCTTTGGCAGCGGGTTGATGAAGGGTTTCTTCTCTGGCACTCCTGGTTCTGTGTACACATTCTCCACAGTGCAGTCCTTGTGTTTTGCCTGAGAAGTTCTTACTTCTTCTAGAGTCCCAAAAATCGGCTCACTGATTTCAGAGTCGCAGCCAAGGAGCCTTTTGTTGAGCTCAGCCCCACATGCACTCTCATGGCCCTCAGGGTTAGTGTGTCCTTGTGCTGTCTTCTCCTGCAGGCATTGTGGGGAGTAGTAAGTACCAGGCAACTGAGGCTGCAGCTCTGCTGAGCCATCCTTCAGAGCCTGCTCCAGCTTTTTCACCTGGCTGAGCACCGAAAGATTCTCCTTCTGGACCTCCCATTTCCCACCTTTTACCTCTTTGCATTTTCCAATACTGGACTCCACTTCCTCACCCTTCTCTGTTTCCCCCTTTTGCTCTGTTCCCTGCCCCGTGCTTTTCGGAGTTCCTACTTTCCGCTCATTCCCTTTGCCCATCTCTTTGCACTCCAGTTCCCAGTTCAGAAGTCTCTTGGTCTCCACTTTACGAGTTACCAATGCTATCCCACTTGTCTTCTCAATTACACAGGGTGTTTTGTGCTCCTCTTTAACTCCTTGCTCCTCCTCTTTGCGAGTGGCAGGAGCAGAGGGTGTTTCCTTTTTTCCTTCCCATTCTGAAATTTTGTCCTTGATGCTGAAGGACTTATTCCTCAAGCCAATTTTTCCAGGTGACCTTATGTTCTGAGTGCCTCCTATCTGCCTCCTGATGGTTTTACTGTTTTCTTTAATATTCAGATCCACAGATGGGTCACTGATGATCATTTTGGGACTAAGCATGTTCTGCTGAAAGCAGTCTAGCCTTGGATCCAGCATCAAGTTCTCCAAGGCTCCCAGTGGGTTCTTCACCACAGAAGAAACTGGTTCAGCTTCAGGTGTTAAACTCTGGGCGAAAGAAGCACCTTCAGAACATCTCTCACTCGAAAACACAAACAAAAATCTTTCTAACTCCTTCACAGCAGCTGTATTGTTTTTATTTGCAACCTTGATCCTGCACACCAAAGACAGAAAAGAAGAAACATTCATTACCACTGCTTATCCTTGGTTTAGTCCACCAGCTCCATAAGCTCTTCTTAAAGCTGGTAACAGCTGAATGCCCAAACCAAACATTTGAGAGAGAGGCTTATGTGGGAGAATTCTCAGGGAATGATCCTTATAACCAGAAAACAATTCTCTCCTCTTGTTATGACTAAGATAAAGTTTGAAATGTAACCTTTCTCTGGGGCAAAAGTAAGTGGCAGGTAAGACGTAGTAATTTTTGTAGGTCAGATATATGGATACCAGTGACAGGTTCACCACCATTGCTGTGCATGTGTTTAGGAGTATAATAGTAGAGTTTTGTACATATTCAGGGCACTAACCATGTCCATCGCAAACAAATGCAAAATGAACCATCTGTAAACAATAGTAACATTTTTGCTATCAAACAGAGAAGAAACCATGTGACAGAGACAGCATTCCTCTAGAGCCTGCTCAGAGGACTCCATCTGGATTCATCCAGGTGTTCTCCAAGTGTCTATTAATGCACAAAACCTGGACTTTTATTATCACATTTCTATGGCCCTACCATCCCATGGGCTTGGGCTCATGTGCACTCAGACAGCTCCTCCCTGTACGGCACACGATGCAACACCCAGACACTAGATTCAACTTTCCCAGGGCAAGGGATAAAACATTTCCATTGTTTGAGTCCAAGCTGCATCAAAAATCCCCAGTTTCTTTCATCTGCGGATTTCCAAGTACTTCTATCAATATTATGATATTTTACCCATATAGTAAAGTTCCAGCTGGACAGACTAACAGTTACTACTCCAGCACAAAATGTTTTTGAACTAAAGCGCTTCTCAGCACTTTGCAGGGCTGTAGGGGCTTGCATGGGCTTGGAAAAGAGCACCAGGTCGATGCAAGGTAGTTACTAGGATGCAAACCCATTTCATTAGTCCAACCAAACCACAACCCTACTGTTGAGATTCAACTCAGCAAATTGCTCTATTAACTTAAATGTATCAAGCACGCCTACTCCAGAACTTACCACTGTTGTAAGAACATCCCTTTGGATACTTTGCGTGCTGGCAGGTTTTGAGCCTCATTCTGGAGTCAAGCAACCCTGGCAGCCTTTTCAGACTCAGCTGTAGTGCAGATCAAGTCTTGGATAGGTTACTGAGCAGAAAGAGGACCTGAGCCAGACACCATTCTTCCCTAACCTCACAGACATTTAACTCCTGTCTCAGTGACAACACCATGCTTTGGACAAGAGCTGCACTCTGAATAGCATGGACTTTTCCCAGGGAGCAGGGCATGGCAGTGACACTGGTTGCTGGGCTGCACAGCAGAGACCAAGGTTGGACACTGGGACAAACCTGCTATGGGTATGGACACTAAGGCTTGTCTGAGGAGGCTGTGGAGTCTCCTGTGTTGAAGATTCCAAGTGCAGGCTGGGCAAACTTTGGCAGGGATGTCATCAGCAAAAACAGTCTTGCCTTGGGGTAAATCTCTTCCAGTACTGTGAGTCTAGGATGTTATCAGTCTGACAGAATGCTAAAACACAGTGTAACAGCCCTTAGATGGCAGTAAAACTAGTTGAGACATACAAAGGTGTGTTTTAGGATGTGAGGAGAGAGGGACAGTCCTTTGTTTTTCTTTCTACTACAGAAAATAAATAAAGTATCCCAGAACTGACACGCAGAAACCTCTTACCTCTCAACAGACTTGCAGACACTGCTTTCAGACTTGCTGCTCACATCGGCTGCCTCGCTAGCGGTCATCATGTCAGCACGCAGCAGGGCAGCTGCTCACCTGCAGACAGAGAGGAACAAGTTAGAGGCCTTGCTCTATGCTCAGCATCCTTCTTCAGACATATGTATGCATGTTTCTTCTGGAAATCCAGGGGAATAACAGAGGGAAATATTATAGCTCCCTGAGGGCAGCCTCAGTGTCCTCATTCGCAAAATGAGAGGAAGGGGTAATAGTATTACCACTTAAAGGTCGGGGAAGATAACAAAGGTTTGGAGGGCAGCAATTGTCTTTAAGTCTGTATCAACTACAATATTGTGATTTGAATATGAAGCACATATTCAAGCATATAAAAGGCATATAAAGGCTTTTATTATTGCCAAAAATCTCAGGTGATTTAGGTATCTTCCCTCACAGAAGACTAAAGAAATACTGATTTTAAAATGAACTGTGCTCAGGCCACATGGCCTAAGTGGTCATTGCACGTGCAACATTGTCACAACGTCCCCAACTTGGGACAGAAAACACTTTAGGCTGAAGAGACACAGTACTGAAGCAACTGGTTACCTTCCATTGTTTTCCCTCTGGTCGGTCATGTTAGGCTGCTACCGATCTGCTCTCAGACGACGACGCATTGAGGGGGTTAGACAAATCAGTCACAAAAATGAGTCACTGTTTGCCTCATGATTCTAATACCCTCTGCCTCATGATTTCTAGAAGTCATGGAGCAAGACTGTCCTTCTCCTTTCCTCCTGCTGCTACCCAACCACTGCAACAGACTCCCTCCTCTTTTTATTGCCCTACAAGCTAACTCTTACTCCTTGAAATAAATGAATACATGAATAAATAAACAAACAATTACTCTGCAGCACCCTTTTCTTACTTCTCAGATGGCCTGCCTGCTCTGCAGCGTTTCAGGGGCGAGAAGGGGTTCATCGTTTTGTACACAATATTTGGAAAATCTGAAGCCTCTCAAGTCTATCCACTTGGCTGGTCTGCCAGATGCTACCCTGCCATGCCTTGCATTTGGCAACAAAATTGAGTGCCTCAGAAAAGTTTGTATTTTTTTGTAGTTAAAAAAAAAATATCAAAAAACAAAAACCCAAAACACTACAGAACAAGAGGATTGCTCGTTTCCATTGCCCAATTATTGGGGAGGGAGGGCGAGGGGGCGTGGGAGGAGGAGACAGAAAGAGAGGGAGAAAGAAGGAAAGAAAGAAATAGAAAGAATTTAGCCTTGTTTGTTCCCAGTTCTCCCTCTCCCTCCCTTCATCCCACACTGGCAACGTTCCTAAGACGAGGAGTGAACTCTGGGTCAACTCAATGTGTACACATTCAGGGCAATTCATCAGTAACCATTTAGCAGGCTCTCTTCCCCTAGACAATAAACCCCCTTGGCTTCTCTTCCTCATTAGCAGCTGGAACAAACACCCATTTCACCTCGAAACACAGAGCAGCCTTGCAAAATTGTCAGGAAAATTTACCAGCCTGAGAAGCAAAATGTATTCTTCCATCCATTAACTGTTATGCATTGAGAATAACGAAAAACTAATGATCATTCACTTCCCTGTCCAAAGGATGACTCACTCAGGCAACCAAAGTGGATTTCCGCAAAGCAGAAATCTAACAGAGGCTGTTTTGCGCTTGGCTTGCAACTTCCCCATAGCAAGGACAGTCTCTTCGCTCGTAGTTCATTTAGTGCCTTTCACAGCAGCATCTGCGACCGGAGCTCCTAGGCACCGCCTTTAGCGATAAGAAATGTAACGACCGCAGAAGTCGGCATATGCTCAGCCCCTTTCCCTCTGCTGCCGCACTGAAGTTTTGCTCATGACAAGCTTTTCTCTCTCCATAAGGTCACATAATTCCCTGATCCGGAAACTCCATCTCTGAATCTTTTCCAGTGGACCCCTAACAAAAACTGGCTTGAAAACTGATGCTTGGGTATAAGCAAATGTGTTCTGGTGTTCATCAGCACAGTCATATATGACTGATGTACCTTGTGTAGGAGTGGCTAAAGAAGAAGATAATAACGAATACGTAGTGTAGCGTGGACTCCCTTCTTCATCTATAACAGATGGGACAGACTCCATTACCCTTGCTAAGCAGAAGCAGCGTAGAAAGCAGTTACTAGTTCTGTGAAAGGAGTCTCCTGTGAAAGGAGTTGCACTGGGGCTCACTGTCTTGCTCCTCCTTCAAAACAGCATCCCTGGGAGCTGGAGGACACTGTTGCAGCAGCAGGTTCGCTCTCCGGTGCACGGCTCTCACCTAGAGAGGTGCAGGTCAGCACCATGCGGAGCCAAGCCTAGAGGGACACCTCTTCCCCAGCCACTACCTAGGGTGAAAACAGCCAGAACAACACATTCACCCATGGCAGATTAAAGAACAAGCCAGTTCTCCAAGCAACAACTCGTCACAGGTTGCAACACAATCACAACAACCAAGGCATAGGCATCTGCTGACACAGATACACCTATTCATAACACAGGCACCTTAGGGGACTAAAGTCAATCCTAGGAGATGCACAGATTGCTGTGCCTTCAGCCCTGAACAGTGGGTATACAACGCAGCATCAGCATCATCCAGGAAATTATCTCAGAATGCTAATTGGCCCTGCCCGAAAAAATATTTACCCAAACTCAGTGAAAGACATGAGGGAAAAAAAGTCACCTCTGGAATAAAAGCAGAAAACAATAATGTACCTCTCAATTAGCCCAACAGTCAGATAATTTGCCAGGGGCCAACCCCAAGCCTAAGCGAACACCAGAGGTGAAGGGACCACCTCTTTCATTAAAAGGGTGATCAGAAATAACATCCAGGACTGACCCACAGACATTCTCAAAACACAACAAGAGAAAGCTGAGATGGCAGCGATGAAAAACCGCCTCTAGCAGGAAAACAAAACATAGCTCTTCTGCCCTGAGGTGTGGCTCCCACAAGATGCCCAGGCCAACACCACTGCTCACTGGAAAGATCAAGGGGAGTTCCCGTTCCTCCCTCCTGTCTTCCCACATCTCTGCCACGATCACACACTATGTCAACCTTGTGCCAGCTCAGGCTCTTTGGAGCCCCTCTGTGACCCATTTTAAGGGGGACCCATTTTCAGGCAAGGGGTCCAACATGCACCAGATCTGGTACAAGGGAGGGGATGGAACTGTGTGGACAGGAGAGAAAGAGCAAGGAGCATGGGGAGAGAGCGCAAGTGAGTATGTGCAGATGGGGAAGAGAGCCCCGCCAGAGGCTCAGCTCTCTCACTTATGCAAGTAAGCCTAAATTAGGCGAGCCTATGTTAAGCAAGAAAGGAGGGGCCTAAAGGAGCCCCCCGCCATCATCCTAACATGAAGGAGGAGCTAGACAGGAAGGATAAGAAAGGCAGGCTGCCATACATTACTGGAGTAAGAGAGGGGATAGACCCTCAGGACACCATCGTGACAGGAAATTAGGAACACACCGTATTTGCAAAATCCTAAGGGACATGTTCCCAGCATGGATGATATTTAACCTCTACAGCTGAATAGTCTTAACCGGAGGGTCAGGCCCTATATTCCCTGGCTGTGATGAGCTCAACAGTGATGAGAAGCCTGAAAGACATTGCTTTTCTGCCTCACACGCAGCATGACCAGGGCCCTTGAAACTGCCTAGAAGAAAACAAGCAAGACTGAGTTCAGTTTGCAGATGCTTGAGAAGGATGTACCTACATCAGCCTGGTACATTTTGACTCATGGCTGCTTTCTCTATAAAGCATAGGATGGGAGGTACAGCCCCATGGCAACCAGAGCCACCACTCCTGGCACGTACACCTCCAAGCAGCGAGGCCATAAATTCAGCAGAGGGGAGAGAAGGTGCCAAGCCCCATTTGGAGAGTCTCATCGCTGCAATTTATTCAGGAATCCCTGCCATTGTTTGGAGGAACAAAGCAGTCATCTGATAGCGTTTCAAAATAAAACAGGGAAAGGAAGGACAGGGGAGGAGGTGGGAGGAAAGAGGGAGGGGAGGGAGCTCTCAAACCTGCTGGCTGCACTCTGGGAAGGATGTGAAGTCTCCCAGCAGAAGCCTCTCGGCATATCTCCCACACGCACCCGGCCCCACGATTCCCAGGGCCATGTGATAGGGGCTTCCTGCTACCAAGCAAAGCGAGACCTACCCCGACCTCTTTCTTCCAAACAGAGTTCCTGCCTGCTTTGTGTTTGCAAAGAGGCGTTTGTTTACTGATCTATCATTGGCATGCAGGAAACAGCCTTGAAATGAACTGTAATCATCTGTCTCCAGCAGTAGCTGTTTGGTTTTCTTCTAATTTAAGTTTTCCTTTTTTCCCCCCTTCTTCCCAGATGCCCTCTTCCCCACTTGTGATCAGAAGCTGTGTAGAGTACGTTCAGGCACTGGATACTATGCAACGTTTCCAAAGCAACCAGTGAATAAAAAATAGGCACTGACAGTAGGCATACTCCTACCCAAGAGGACAAAGAAGTTATCTAGAGGGATATGAGCTAAACTTCTGCTGGGAGAAGAAGCTATCCAGCTTTGCCCAATACCTAAACACATTTGGGACAGCCACCAGACAATGACAAAAGCCAGAGGAGCACCAAATACCCTATAGCTTACATCATCGGAAACATATGCAGCCACCGTACGAAACACACACGCGGATCCTAGTCTCGGATAAGATCAGGCGATGGTCACAGCGAGCCTCCCTGGCCTCCCTTCTGCGCTGTTCTGTTTATGGAGAATAAAACAAGCATACCTCCAAGGGGCTTGTGGTTCGGGGGTGGGTACTACCACAGCCATATGCTAGAGGCCGTATCTTGAGACCTTCTGTGCTCCATTTATTCCGCGCCTCACACAAATACAGGATCCAAGTCCAGAACTTGGATATTAGCCGCCACCATGGTGCATATAAACAATTAGGCTTCACCTCACCAGAAGCAACCTGCAGCTGGTCAAACTGCAGAAACTCTCATCCCAGGAGAATAAAGACAAGCTGCGTTTAAAAGCCCACGCACGCTTTCTTTTCCTCGGTGGCCGCAGAAATATTCTGTCTAAAAATTTAATATTCTAGCCAGTGAATCACAGCAGTAAGACAAAACCTACAAGTGACGTTTCTTAATTCCAATGCTTTATAGAACAAAGGATACAACCCAGAGAGAAACAACGAGACAACAATATATACTATACGTATATAAAGAACAGGAAGGATGCCAAGAAGACAAAACACTAAGAGGAAAATCATGAGTAAGGCTAAGTCAATAGTTAAAGTCTTAAACGCTCCCTCCCCCAGCCCTCACTCTATTTCGAGCCTATTTCCTTTTGGGGGAAGAAGAAAGCCTGAAAACGCACACTTCTGCACGAATACACGTACATGGAGCCACTGCGTGGGCCCCACGTGTGGTTCCAGCATCCAGCTGAGCCTCTGGGCTGTCCGTGGGCCCACATAGGAGCATGCTCGCTTCCCGAGGTCCCTGGCAGCAGCTCGGCCTCCCAGGGGGTCAAGCCCCTGTGGAGCAGAGAGGACGGTGCCAGAGCAGGGTCCGATGATCTCCAGCCAACAAGGGGCCGGAGCCGAGGAGGGCAGCAGGAGCCAAAAGTAGCCTCCCTTCATGAGGCGAGATGCCTGCAGGGGAAGTTACTGCCTTAAGGTGCCCAAGACCAACCCTGCAGCAAGGCAAGGCCAGCCTGGATTAACCTGTTAGGGCTGCACATTTCAGTTTGACTCCTTCTTCAGGCCCCAGGCTCAGGCTCCCTTGTCATGGCTCCCAATTCATTCCTGGCCCCAGGCTGCTGTCTTTTTCCTCCTGCCTTGAAGATGCGCAGGAGCAGGAGGCAGTAGCTCTGTGCTGCAGCTAAGGGGATGTGCCCCTCGAAAGCACTTTTCTGGGCAGGAAGAGAGCCTTTCTCATGTGGCCCGGCATCTTCAGGAAGCAGTGCAGTTGCATGACCTCCCTCCCAACAAGAGACCCCAGGGCCTCACGCGTCCACCCGTCACACAGCCTGACGCACCAGGCTCATCTATCAGGGTTGCAGCAACTCCAGAGAGCAGTTAATTGTACTCCTGATGCTTTCAGGACAGAGAAGAGTGTTTAACAACGGGCAGATAGATACAAGGCGCTCTTGAATCTTGAGCAC